TCAGAAAAGGTCCTAGTAGCTGGCGATTTCACCCCCGCTGGCCCCGTGCGGGGGTGGGGGGAGTGGCGCAAGGGTCCTGGAAGGCTCCCTCGGACCCTTGCGAGGCTCCCCCCATGGGGCCAGTGGGGGCAAAATTGCCAGCTTCTCTCCATAAGACGCACGGACTTCCCCCACACACTTTTTTGGGGGGGAAGTGCGTTTTATGGAGCAAAAAATATGGTATGCCAGAAGCCTGTCACTTTCCTGGGGGGCACTTTGTGGGTGTATAACCCAGACATTCAAAACCCAAACTTCATTAAACTTGGAGGGTCTGTAGAGGAGTGAGGGAGAGCTTCTGTGTGATTTTGGTGTCTCTAGGTCCATGGAGGGGTTTTTTTTGTGGGAAGCTTCTGTGTGATTTTGGTGTCTCTAGGACTAGATCCATGGAGGGTTTTTTTGTGGATGTCTGAAAATTCATATATTCATGATTCATAATTCATCTACCTTGATGAATTATGAATTGTGATAAACTGTCCTTTTTTGATTCATGCTCATCTCTAGTTGGGATTTGGTGAGTCAACTCCTCTGTAAGTTCCACTAATCTGAGTGCAATTTACAACACTAGTTGCAATTTACTACACTAAAGTAACTCACAACTAGACCTAATGTAGCCATAATCCAAATCCTAAATTCAGGCCTTCGTCAGACACTCTCCAGTTTCCAAGACTGCAAAAATTGGTGGTTTTTTCCCCCTATTTCTTGTACTGAGAGTTCATTCATCTAACTAAATGGAAACAGAAAGGAAAGACTTTGAATTCTAACTCTAAACCTAAGATCAGGACTTCCTCAGTCACTGCCAGTTTCCAAGAATGAAATAGCTTAGTTCCTGCTGCTGCTTGCTCTATGCTGTGATGGAGGATGAGCTGATCTGATCAAAAGTCAACAGAAAATAAAGATTTAACCATAACTCTAACCTCAATGGTAAGGGAAGGCCTTGGTCGGGTCTTCTCCAGTTTTCCAAGCATGTAGAAAATCAGTCTGTGGTCTTGGTTGCTCTTTTTTTGTGCTTCAGAACGCCTTATCTCATTGAAGGTCAACAAGAAAGAGTTCTAATCCTAATGCTAATTCCAAAGCTCACCCTAACCTTAACCCCTACCGTAAATATAACTCTACCACTAACAGGCCTTTCCCCACATCTTTTTATTGTTCCATGAATGCAGAAAACTAATGTGTGGTGTTTTTGCTCTTTATTTGAATGGAGTATATCTGATCAAACATCAACAGAACAAAAAACTCCCAAACATAAATGCTATCCTTATCCTATCCACAAACCTTTCTTCAGTCAATGCAAATTTCCAAGGAAGAGGACATTGATGTTTCTGCCTTCTCTACACTTTGTTGTCAGATGAGCTTACCTAATCAACATTCAACAGAATACAGACATTCATAAACATAACCCTAACCTAAGCCTAAAAAATAAAATAAAATAAAACCCTAACCTAAGTCTAACTCTAGATCTTCCTCAGTAGTTCTGTATACACAAAAATAAACAGTATGTGGTGGCCCTTGCTCTTCATTGTGCTGCAAACTCATCCTAGCTAAAAGTCAACAACAAGAAAAGACCCTTATTCCCCACCATAATTTTAACTGTAGTTCTAATCTTGAACTATCCTCAGCCATTCACCAATTTCCAGGAATGCAAAAAGTCAGTGTGTAGCAATGTTTGCTCTTTGTTGTATTGTGAGTTCAGATTACTCAACTTGAAAGTCAATAGAAGGGAAAGACTCCTAGCCCTAATCCTAACACAAATCTAGGCCTTCCTCAGCCATTATAGAATTTCCAAGAATGCACAATGATGCTGCATGCTGTTGTTTGCTTTTTGTTTTGCAGTGAGCTGAGCTTATCTGTTAGAGTAAGCAAAAACTTCATAATGCTTCATTATGACTGCGTTCATTGTAACCTCATATTTTCAATCCTGGACCTTACAGAACCAGAGGGACTTTCTAGTCCTAGTCTGGTGTTCTTTGTGAATGTTCTCAGGACTAGATAAATGGTGGGAACATGGGGACACACATAAGCCTCAGCCCCTTTATCTCCACCCCACCAAGAACTCACTTCTCTAACATGGCCAACAAAGGAGTTAGTGCACTCACATGAATGGGCTTACAGTGCTCCCATGATGTGGAGCTGCACTGCTCCTTTGGAGACTTTTGTTGTCTTATTGATCTCTGGGTGGCAATGTAGTGGATCCCTACCACCTTTAGCTGTACATGGATAAGCAGAGGTCTTTCGCCACTTGAGGGAGTGCCACTTCCAAAAGCATGGTAACTGCATTGCCAATTTTGACCCTAAGCTGCTTTTTTTACAACTCCACATGTCCATAGTCCTTAAATGAATATTTGCTCAGCCAAATTAATTGAACTGCCATCCACTGTCCTATTAAATGCAAATAATTTCTCAAGCACTACCCATTAGAGTTGCAGGACAGCTCACTGAACTTGTCAGATTTTCCCTTACATTCTTTTTGGACCTCACATTTCCAGCCAAAAGCCATATGAACTGTGTGGGGCAAGAATTGATTGTTTGTCTTAGGGACTTTGACAACAGCACAGACATCCCTGCATGTGTATTGTACAACTTCATGTCTTAAGTCAGCTCCCTCTATTTTATTTTTCTGAATTTTCAGAAGAAACAATGAACTATAACATTTATAATTAAATGTTTAATTAATAAAATAATATTTGCTGCCTGCAGTTTTATCAAGGGGAAATATCTGTATCATGGGCTTGGACTCATTTTGAATTGCAATGTTGTCTTCAAAACCATACAAACACATTTTTTTTCATATGAAAATTCTGCACACATTTATTTTTGTCTTATTTTTCAGTTCTATCATGTTTGCAAACCCATGCTGAATCTCTTCTGTAGAAGTACATTAGAATGGTCTCCAAATACAAATCCAGGTGAAACAGCAGAATAAAAGTGTCCCTTGATAATAACATTTGCAAGAAAAAGGGGACAAAAACAGAAATTATTGCATTGGAAAATAAATTTTAATGGGCTTACTATTAGTGGGGAAAGGCATTCCAACATATGAAACAGTATGACAAAACAATTCTCTCTATGCCTTTCTCTCTTTTAATCTTTCTCCCTCAAAAGGTATTTCAAAATTGCCCCAACTCATTTTTTAAAAAATATCCATTCTGAGGAAGAGAGAACAAAACATACTGAAGGCTGTGACAAGTATCCTGAGAAAGAACCATTTTCCTTGACTTATATATTACTATTTTCAGACCTAGAAGAGCAATACTCCACTGGTGAAAGGTCCTGACAAATGTGACAGCTTGAACATGTGTGTTTAGTTTAGCAACCTCAGTGCCACCAATTTCCTCTTCCTCCCTTGCAGTCCACATCTCACATTGTAAAAAATGTCACTAGACTGAAAGGCAGGAAGAAAGGATGACACATTTGGACATTCAAGCATGCTGGCTTCATTTCACATGATAACAATTTGGGCAAACAGAACAACTTGCTGACTTTTTTTTTAACAGAGCAACTGAAGGAAAGCTCAACTTAAAGCCAAAGTCAGAACGTTATCTAACATTTTAGATAACAATGAGGAAAGTCTTTGAAAGCACTTGAGCTTCTTATGTTCACTAAATTATTGGACACAGAAAAAGCCCTTGGATCAAACTCTTTATTGTTTTGGCAACATCAGTTAATCTGAAAGTAACACAAAATTCTGGCCTCATGTTACGAAAATACAAGAGATGCTCTGGAGTTATATGAAAGTCTGCAGTAAGTACATGAGAGTCTACAGTGCTCAGTTTGTATCAGAATAATGTGAGCAGCATAATTTAAAGTATTCAGCATCAAAAAGATAAATGTAATCCATGTTTTTCATCAGAAACAATCAGATGAAATGCATACAACGTAATATTTAAGTTTAAAATCATGTTAAATACTCACCAAAAAAGGAGTAAGAGTACAGTCCACTTTCTTCAAAAACCTGTAATAGTAAATAACATTTTTTCAATATATAAAGACCTATACTTACAAATAACAGGAATATAATTCTTTATCTGTGAGGAACATTTACATTAATTAAAAACAAATATGAAAAGTAAGTGCAAATTTTATATAGCTAGCTATTCTACTTAATAGAAACCAAGAACTTTTATTTAGTTATTTAAATGTTTCCAGCTGTTGGCCCCCCAGTTGGGTGAATCTTCCTCAAAATATCTCCCAAAGCCTCCTGGACAAGATTTGGGAAGGTCCCATAGGATCAGCTTCTGCCAGAAACTGCCTCCGTCAAACTGTGCCATTTCACCTTCTCTCTCCTTCCACAGGCTAGCTTGCCTTTTTATTCTCTAATCTTTCTACTCCATTCCCTGACTTCCTTCTCTCCCCAGTACAAAGGTTTCTCTGGTCTTAATTCCCTCCTTCCCCTTTCAGCTTCCTCATAAGATATAATTAATTTCTCCCACTTCTTACTTCATGGATTCTCCATGCCGGGAGGGAGAACTCTCTGTGTCTTTTTAGCCTCCACATCTCTGGCATCTACCACCCCTCTCTGATGCATCTCTTCTTTATAGATCTCTCCCCTGCTTCCCCACCTTTTCTAACTGTTCCTCCACTTCTTGTACCTCTATCTCCTTTTCTTCTGATAGGTTGCTCTCCTCCTTTTTCCTGTCTTTCCCTCCTGTACCTCCAAACCAACCCCCTCTGGCAACCTGGTCTCTTATTCCACTAAGGCTCCTACTTTCTGTGATGGCATTCTCTCGGTCTTCTCTGATATCTCTTTGGTCTTCCCTCCCTCTTTCTCATTCATGGGGGTTGTCACTTCGGGTTGGGAGGATACCAAACCGGCCATCTTTCTCATAATCCTGCTAAGAAATTGGAAAGTGTTAAGGACAACCGTGGTTGGTGGTTATCAATCTGCAAGAGGTGGAACCTGGGAGTAGAGATGGGGGTATTTCTATATGAATATACCCCCACAGGTGGTTGTGACCAACCACTCACAATTCCACCACTGCCACCAGCTCTGCAGTCCATTCCTATTGCTTCGTAGATTAGCCAGTCCTGGCAGAAGGTGGGATGATGAGCCTCTCTGCCAGGTTGCAGAGTGGCTAATCCATCGTGAGTAATGGAGAGATAGGAAGGCTCTGTGGAGCTTGTGGCACTGGCGCAATTGTGAATGGTTGGTCTGGCCCCAGGGGGCCAGACTCTCGTTATCTGCACTCGTTATCTGCACCTTGGGAGTAAGGCATTCCCAGGAACAGGATCTTGGCAGGAAAGTCCTCCTGCTTCCTCCTTTAGAGGAATTTGGACCTAAGTCCCTACACCTAAGCTCCCAGGGCCAAGGAGAACTATAGGAAGTAATGTCTACTACTGGGTCTTACACAAAGAAGAATAAATTATTGGAGTCTTGGCAGTCTTAGAATGAGGATCTGCACCTGCCTGAATGGAAACACAATGCAGACAAATGTGATTTAACATCTTTTTCATATTTTCTCCTTACACTCCTGTCTTTGCATGAAAACCCTTTCATATAAGGGTGTGTATGAAAACATTTTTCCCTCTTTGCTGATCTCTCCCCCCCACAAAGCATTAAGTAAATTAACTGCTCAACAGCTGCTACCTTTCCTGTTTAATAAACTCATGAGAGACACATAACAGCCTTTGTGTCAAAAGGTACGCACAGATAGTTTGCTTTACAACCATCAGTAGGCACACTTATTCCCATCTCCTCAGTTATGTGCTTTTGCCTCTGAAATAAGAATAAGGGATGGGGAATTTCCCAAAATTCATTATATTACCATTTTACAAACTAAGCTTTTAAAAGTCCTCCTTTTGCTTTGTTGGATTAAAGACAGATTATAAATTTTTAAACAAGATTCATGATCCATACTGCTCTGTTAGTTTTTGGAAAAGTACTCTAGCATACTGCACCTACTATTAAAGCTTACTTTTTAAAAAGAAATTAAAAATACTATAAGCACCAGAAATGTACTGTATCTAACTTGCAGGATTTTTAAAAGGGTATTGTGTTAAAATGGAGCTTTGGGTGGTTTGCTCTGGTCCAGGGGAATTAATTTACAGGTCGAAAAAGCATTCAATTCTGCTTGCAACGTTTTTAAAAAGGTATATTCATCCCGTAGGGCAGTGGTTTCCAACCTTGGGCCTCCAGATGTTCTTGGACTTCAACTCCCAGAAATCCTGGCCAGCAGATATGGTGGCGGAGGCTTCTGGGAGTGGTAGTCCAAGAACATCTGGAGACCCAAGGTTGGGGAACACTGCCGTAGGGGAAACTATACAGCAACCTAGAGCACAGTGTCATCAAGAGCAAACATTTGGTTTGTCAATCAAATTCAGGAACCAACAGTCAGTTCTTTTCCTGACTGAGATAGAAGGCTAAACTGGACACAACATGAGCATTCATGGTTAGGGATCATGTGTGGGCTCATGTCTAATGTAAAAGACCCCAAATTAAAAATTAGATGCTCCCACTGAACACAGCTCTGAACTAGATGTAGTAGGTTTACATGCTATAAACCAGATTGCAGTCTCTAGGAAAATCAGGACTATGGGTTTCCGACCTACGAGCAACTGCAAGGCAGACATTAACAATGACCCAAATCCAGGGAGGCAGTGATAAAGCAGGGTTGGGGGTGAGACCGCTTTTTCCTGAAAACATACAGTAGATATTGCACTAGAAAAGTTAAGAAGCTTGTGCAATGTTGGGAAAAGGAAGTGTCACACTTCTAGTTATGGCATGGAGTGTGTCAGATTCTGAATTAGCTTGCATTTTGCTGCATAATTACCAAAATATTGTAACAAATCGTTCAGGAAACTGTCTGGATTTATGGCTGTCACTCAGATTCAGTATGTGTGGGAGGGTAATCCATAACTATTTCTCAAGCCTTCCAGAGCTCTCAAAATTTACCATTCCTGTTGCCCAAACCATGTGATGGCAGCCCTCTATCTTCTACACAAGCCCATTTCCTTTTACCACATCCAATGGAAAATTATGTTGTTTATATAGAAAAGGAGCCCAAGAGTCATGAAATCCAATCTTCTGCCTGACCAATAGGTAAAGCATCCCTGATAAGTGACCATCAAACTTTCAGTGGAGGACAGCCCACCAGCCTCCAAAGCTATCTAGTCTGTTGTCAGAGTTCTTCATGCTAAAATATTCTTCCCAGTAGGCAAAATCTCCTGTTTTGTAATTTGAATCTATTTCTCTCAGGATTTGCCTTCTGAACCTTCAGGAAACAAACTTGCTATTTCATCCACATTACCACCTTTCAAATATTTGAAGATGACTATTGTATTATCTCTCAATCTTCTCTAAGCTAAATACAACCACCTCTTTCAACTGTTCCCCACCATCCTGGTTGTCCAATAACATTAACAGGAGAAAGACTTATTTCAAAATGGTTCAGAAGGTTGCTTCGGAATGCTGGAAAATTTATTAAATCTATATCAGACAGTTTGTCCATCTAGCCCAGCCTTTACTGACAGGGTCCGTATGGCCAACTGGCAAATTTGAAGGAGACTACAGAATGCAAACAATTCTTTACACGCCAACTGATAAGATTTGTTATGTGACTTATACAATCCTGATTCAACCTATACAGTGGTGCCTCGCAAGACGGGTGCCCCGTTTGATAATGAAACTGCATTACAATGATCTTTTTGCGATCGCAATTGTGATCGCAAAACGATGGTCTGAATGGGGTTTTTTCGCTTTGCGATGATCAGTTTCCTGCTTCGGGAACTGATTCTCGCAAAACAACGATTTTAAAGCAGTTGATTGGCAGTTTCAAAATGGCCACCGGGAAAAAATGGCTCCCTGCTTTTTTCTGGGACGGATTCCTCGCTGCACAGGCCGCGAAAATGGCCACGCTATGGAGGATCTTCGCTGGACGGTGAGTTTCAAGCCCATAGGAACACATTAATCGGGTTTTAATGCGTTTCTATGGGCTTTTTATTTTCGCATTGCGACATTTTGTTCTACAGTGATTTCGCTGGAACGAATTAACCTCGTGATGCGATGCACCACTGTATTTCTTTCATGTTATGTTCATGGCCATTGTAAAAAAATGTTTGATAATGGTTGATCTAGAGACTGTGTACTGTCTGCTCTGACTAGGACTGGCTATCTAATTAAATAGGATAGTGGGATGAAACTGGATTCTGGGCTAATGCATATAAAAGTGACACAGAAGAGAAACAGACTGACTCAACCATCCTTAAGGTAAAGGTTAAGGTTCCCCTTGACAATTTGTCCAGTTGTGTCCAACTCTAGGGGGTGGTGATCATCTCCGTTTCCAACCCATAGAACTAGCGTTTGTCCGTAGATAATCTTCCATGGTCACATGGCCAGCGTGACTAGACACAGAATGCCATTTACCTTCCCACTGAGGTGGTATCTATTTATCTACTTGCATTTTTGCATTCTGCATACTTTCAAACTGCTAGGTTGGCGGGAGCTGGGACAAGCGACGGGGGCTCACTTCGTCACATGAATTCGATCTTACGACTGCAGGTCTTCTGACCTTGCAGCACAGAGGCTTCAGCGGTTTAACCTACAGCACCACCATGTCCCTCAACCATCCTTAGTCCCTTGCTATTAACATGTTATTACATATTCCTGCAAGGAACTAAGGATGCAGTATCTCAGGCTTCTTTTTATCTTTGCAGTACTCTTGGGCAATAGGTCAGGCTAAGAAATAGTGACCTATCTAAGATCACACACTAATCCAGGTCCAGCATACTAATCAGCATGTTGTACTGTCTTACGCCAAGTTTTTGCAATTCTGAGATGTTGAAAGTGCACCTTGTGAGGCAAAACCCCAAGATCATATGCTAATGTCTACTATAATATTTTTGAACTTTCTAACAAGGTGCCAAACCCATAGATGCAGCACCTATACAACAATCACACTACTACTGCTGCAGCACCTCCAACCACCCACTTGCCTGGTAATCTGCTGGAGAAGGGAA